TGGACATTTTTTCTCCTGTACTTCGGGAGAATGTCTGCAAGATAAAATCAAAACATTTCCACAAGACAAAAATGAGTAACTTAGCAGGTGACAATGTTATTACTAGCTGTTTAAATCTTTTAAATTCACCAAGTACCCCAAAAAAGTCCTGAGAAGGAGATAAACAAGATTGCTGTACAAGAGAAACTTCAAAAGATGCTGTGAACACACTGAACTCGTTGAGACCCTGCACGGATGTCTTTGTTTTCATTAATGAAAAATATTCTCACAGAGCTAAGACCAAAATATGTTAAGAACGACATCCTCCTGCCCTTACTGTCTCCCTGAATCATTTTGTGCTGCACATATTTGTCTCATACAGTTACTTAGGGAGTACAGTGCTACTCGCTTTGAAGAGGGCTTGCAGGATCTACCCCCAAAAGACATAAGTGGGGTGCAGCAAGAACTTGTACCATAATGATTGCTTGTATTGTAAAGAAAACTTTACAATACAGTGGCTTCTTTCCAAAAGAAATGGGGATGGGGATGGGCATGGGAACAACACACTAGCAGCTTGCTTATTGTTTTCTGTCCAGTTCATTTTCCTTTCCTTTGCAGTCCATCAAAGTAGCACACCTTCTGTGAAACTCTGGACTGGTATTCAACCCTGCTCCTGCTCATAGACCTGTCAGTCACCCTAAACACACATTATCGCTCTCTTGATGATCTTTCTTTCTTGAGCAGCCTTGACAAGCCCTCCCTCTTCTCTACATTCTCCACAACTCTTTCAAGTGCACCCTTCCAGACCATCACTGCCCATGAGAGACACCACTGGGCTGGGTCAGGGACACCCAGTCTCATGCCTGGACAACTTCACCCACATCACAAAACCCAGATGAGCTTCTCTTGTCCAGCCTGACAAATCCACTTTCTGCACCTCCCTAAGGTCACGACTTCTCCAAGCCTTCTCTTGCCTTTCACGGTCTTTTCCCATGCCCAACATTGCTCATACTTCACAAGATGTTGACCTCTTCTTTGGCAGGACTCTAGTACCAGCCCTCATTTTTTAATATCAGAGAAGTAGTTCTACACTCTCTCCTATTTGAGGACTCCCACCTGAAAAAAGCTATCATTAATCCCGTTAAATATTTGAATTTCCATGATTTTTGATTAATAATAATGTGACTGTGGCTTGACAGCTGTTTTCATTATTTCATTGTCCTTTTTTATTTCCTACTGTCTTTTGTCTTAAATTTTAGATTATAAAAGGCAAGACCGTTTTTGTTATCATTTTTGTGCTGTTGTACAGCTCCTGTGACTGTAGGGGTGGGACACTAGAGCTGTATAACCTAACTGTTGTTTCTATTAGTAGTGTTTCTACTTTAAATATAAGACATATTAATATGAAGTCTTTATATTTGATTTTCTTTGCAGGAGTTAACTTGCATCTTTGTGTCTTCAACAAAAATAATTTGGTAGGCTTAGAAGAGTGTTTTTTTAAGGCAGCAGAAAAACGATTAAATTTCTTTCCTGAGGTCACACAGCAAGTCAGTGTCAAAGTTAAAATTATGCTTCCCAATCTATATTCTTTCGTTGTCTTGCACATCAAAAGGGCTCAGAATTAGTACATCGTTGCTGACTATGGGCTAATTTCTCTGACAATCAGATACAAACCAGAGATAAAACATGAAGAGCTGTCTGTCTACATTTTAATATAAACCTAATGTGTACATCCAAAGGCATGAACCACAAATCCTTACACAAGCAAAACATCAATTAAAGACCAGACAGTTTGAATGGGTTAATTAACAAGAATGCTGACACAATCAATAAAGCTATTCTAGTAAAGCCAATCCCTCCCTACTCCTATTTTTATGACAGATGGCTTTAGATGATACATACTCTTTTTACAAGGAAAAAAATTTGGAAAATCAAGACAGATTCTTCTCATAGATCAAAAAAATAATACAGTTATTTCTAAGTTTATGATATGCTGATTCTAGAGTATGTTTCAAATCGTTAAAGGGGATTATGAGTACGAATTACTGGGAAACTCATCTCTTAATAATAAAAGTCAGGATCAAATTCCATTGCTGACAGTGAATTGGTAACATAACTACTATATAGTGAAATCTGGTGCCACTGGCATTATTCATCAAGGCAGGCACTACTTAATGGGAGTAAGGATGCAAGAACTCTGACTGTAATTCCACTACACCATTCCACACCAAACCTAAAGAAACGTTTATAATGGATTTTTACTGCTCTACACAGTGTTCCATTTAAAAACTGAATGTCACAGTACTCTCCTTGGAAGAATCAACATATCTTTGCTTTGACTAAAGTTGTAGCACATATGTGAAGAATCTGATTATTTTTTTTCCTCTTCAGAAGCCACTTACTTCCCCTAATGAGAAAAAGTGAAAATGCCTAGGCAAGAAAAAGGTATGTAAAGACACGGTGCAAAACTGCTGCCAAGTAATCTGAATATAAATTCAAGGGATCCTTACCAGCTGCAGTCAAAAGCCCACTCCAAACTCTGTTAGATGTTAATCAAACTTAAGTATGTTAATGCATGGTTCCCGAGCTCTTTGCATAGATAAGTTAACTGCTTTTGTTAAACTGCATTTGCTAGGTGTATGTCCCCATACAGCAGAGTACATCCTTCTGTGGAAAAAGGAGTTATGACAGTCACGGAAGAACTGTTCATTTGGTCAAACTCTTCTGGGCAGGAACAGCTCATTTAACCCTTGAAACCCCGGGACAGGTCCCTGTGTAAGGACACAACCCCACACCTCCAGTCGCATTTACAGTGTTGGCATTAGCTAGGTGTATTTTAGCAAGATGGTAACATGTATGGTGTCCAAAGGGCTAAAGCATCATGCTGTTTCATCTACTGGGACTGTCCGTGGGGAGTCAAAACCGTCGTGCACAGCCCTGCCCCTGGAGAACAGTGCAGATCTGGCCCCTTTCGCCACCCGATACTCAAAACAGGGGAACTCTGGTAAGGGATTTCCAGGGAAATTAAGTAGATACAGCCAGCTTACTTCACACAGGCCACTAAGCAGCCAGCAGCTGAGAATTTTTTTGCAAGATATGGATTGTAGTCACTGAGCGAGACACAGAAAATTCATTGCCAATGCTGTGAACTGCTCTCTGTTCTGGCAGGGACTTGTAACACTCCAGACTTACAACTGCACCATCTTAAGGAGCCAAACGCAAAGCCATGCCATCTCCACAGCATATTAACAATCAATACCAACATGACGATCCACCTCTTGTGGGAGTGATGTGCATTTAAATGTGATTGTATGACAAGGCCACATGGTGCTTACAGTTGTCTATGTCAGAAGCTTAAAAAAATTTTACTAGATAAAGTCCCGTGTTTTGATGCTGTGCAAGGGCCTGAGTTACAGGAGCAAACAAGTAGAAACTTGGGTTTAAATTACATTGTTCATCCAGCTTATTAAAAATCTGGAGCACACCTGTCCAGCTGGCCGCTCTGACTTCAGATGGAAAATAAAAACAGGCTCCCTAATACCATTTCATTTTCAGGGCCATTGAGTAGCCACCGATACAGATAATTTGGCCACCCAGGCTGTCATTTTCCTAAATTCTGTCTCCAGCTCAGACAGTTGCACGCCCCCCTGCACTACAAGAACGCACATACCTAATTACGTACGCTTTCCCCCCGGTATTGTGTTATTGGGCACAAGAGCCATTTAGGGGTGTTGACAAGGAAACTGAAGCCTGAAGGCAGATCCCAGTTTCAGACTCACATCAGACATGCTGCTCAGTCAAAGCATCTAAGACTTTTCAGCATGGTTCTGTAGCTTATCTGCAGGGAAACAAATGTCATTTTCCAGACTTGGCTTTTTTTTTTTTTTTTTTTTTTTTTTTTTTAAAAAAAAAAAAAAAAAATTTCTCCAAACTTGTTTTTTTTTTTTTTTTTTTTTTTTTTGTTCTTCCAAGTTGCTGGATAAAAACTTTTTTCCTAAATAAAGTCATTATGTTAATCTGCTTTCCAAACCGCTGCTGCCAAAGCTCAGTTACAAACCTGAGAAAGTATGCCATGAAACATCTTCAGTACTGATGGCATGTTCCAAACTGAGTTAAACTCACTCTGCAATCAAAAGTTGGTAGTCGAGAAAAACTTCTGAGCTGTACACCATTCTGGGAAATACATGTCTGCTTTGAGTACATTTACTCAATGACTGGCAGCAACATTTAAGTAATTCATAGGGTTACCAAAAAGCCCTGCATTCCGAGCTCATTCTAGGAAAAGCAGCTGCCTATTTTTCCTAATTGATTTGCGCCTACATTTCCAGATCAAGCCTGCTTCTTGGCTGAGACACAAAATAGGAAACATTTACACTACTGTGACTGTCGCCAAAGGAAAATCTGTACAGGATACCACGCAACTGAGAATTTCTCTAGGCAGCTTCTCCTGGAGGACATACGCTGGGGGAATGAAGTCAAGTTATTAAACAGATGTGCATTTTCACGTGCAGGTCATGCTTATTTACATATATACACAAACACCCCGCTATCTCAGTATGTTCCCTCGTTCCAGTCTCCGTTTAGAAGTGCCAAAAGCTTTCCGGAAAACGAACGGAAACCTTTAAGTAACAGATCTTTCGCGCAAATATTCTGCTCTGCGGGGAGCCTGAACCGACCCGTCCCGTCCCCGGACCGCCCGGGCGGGAGAGGGAGGCGATACCTATAGCCGGGGTCAGAGCGACGAGCCCGACCGGAGCCCCACAGCCGCCCCACCAGCGCGGTCCCCCCACCGGGGACATCGCGGAAAGACAGACGGACGGGCGCCCGGCTGCTCTGCAAGGGCGGTGGTACCCGTCCCGTCCCACCGAGGACACCTTCACCGACGGCAACCCCCGCTCCGGCTGCGATGTCGCCCCGCTCCCCCCGGGATGCTGCATCCCCAATCCGCCTCCCCGCCTCGGGATGTCGCCGCCCGACCCGGGATGCACCTTCGGGACGGGACGGGACGGGTCCCTGCCTACCTGTCCCACGGGCGCCCTCCCCGTCCCACCGGGAGCCGCCGCCGGGAGCTGCCGCCGTGTTCCGCGCCGCCGCCGCTCCGAGCGAGGGGCGGTGAGTGCGACGGGGCTGGCGGGGCGCAGCCCCTCCTCC